GGTACAAAGGTTGTTTTCCTGCATCCAACATATCAAAAAATCTCCTAGCTTCTACATTGGGTAATTCATCCCCTCTAAAATGATCATTTACCATCTGCTCAGTACCTACACCAAAATCTACATCCGTTCTAATTGGTTCTTCTAACCTATCCGATGTCTGGGGTTCGCTAGTACTACCATATTCATAATCAGTTTCCCCATGCTGATACCAAATTTTGTAACTTCGTGTAAACCCGTTCAAATATAGATGAGTCCAAACATCCTACTCTTTTATAACCTTTCTATTCTTACAAGTAGAGCAAGGACATCTTAACATACCCGTTTTTGCTTCCGGTTGTCGTTGAACTACCGCCATGAATTCCCTAATGCCTTTAAGGTATACTTCCGTAAGTAATTTAGTGTCGGGATCCAAATGAGGTCGATCCATCCACGAACGATAATAATTTGAAGAAGACATGTTTTTGTGAACCAGATTCGTGTGTATAAGTGAGAGGATGAGAATATTGAGTGAATGAAAGGAGAGGAGGGGTGCTTGTATTTATAGATGAAATTCTGCCGACGATTCCGACGAAATTCCGACGGAAAACTAGTATTCCGNATTCGTGTGTATAAGTGAGAGGATGAGAATATTGAGTGAATGAAAGGAGAGGAGGGGTGCTTGTATTTATAGATGAAATTCTGCCGACGATTCCGACGAAATTCCGACGGAAAACTAGTATTCCGTCGGAATTTCGTCGGAATATACAACGGTCATAAATATTCCTCGGAATTCCGTCGGAATATTCTGATGAAATTCCAAGGAAAATGAAAATCCTCGAAATTTTCGAACTTTTCCAACGGCTCGTCAACGGCTATAATTTATCCTCGGAATTTCCTCGGTTTATCCCGACGGAATATAGGTTCCTCGGAAACATAAAATTTGTGTTTCGTCGGAATTCCATCGGAATCCCATCGGAATTTTCCGAGGAACTGCGTGGCCGTCGGAATTTTCCTCGGAATAAGCCCTGTTTTCTTGTAGTGTTTACTATTCATTTGAAAATATAGTTCAAAGTAAAAGATTTCGTACCCTACTATAGTTTTCACTTTATAAAACCATCTCTAATAGATTTCTCTATTTTTACTATTTTATAGTAATTTTATAATAGAATTAAAAATAATTATTTTAGAGAATTGCCCAAAAAGAAAGCAAAACATCAAATTTGATTTTCATTATACATTGAACTAGATGATGATTTTTTTTTTATATTTTCCGTTTGGCAGATTAATGTAGATGCAAAAGTTAAGAGCAACGCGCCCACAGGGAGTTCGTCATGCGGTGCACGTGGCTGTCTTGTCGTTAAAACGCCTCGTTTCCACTTTCATATTTTATTTTCATTTCTCTCGTTTACCCCCAAAAACAAAACAAAAAATAAACCCTACCCGAGGTAAAAGTGGTAGACGCAAAAAAAAAAAGAAAGAATAATGCTTAATTAGTATCTCCGGCAACTTGAACCGAACTTTAGGATCAAATTAGGGCACAAGGACCTCTGTGAAGCAGAAGCCATGGGAAGAAAAAAACTAGAAATCAAACGAATCGAGAACAAAAGTAGCAGACAAGTCACCTTCTCCAAACGACGCAACGGCCTCATCGAGAAAGCTCGTCAGCTTTCTGTTCTCTGCGACGCATCTATCGGGCTTCTCGTTGTCTCCGCCTCCGACAAGCTCTACAGCTTCTCCTCCGGTGATAAGTAGGGACTTCTCCTCTTTTTGTTTTGTTTTTGTTTTGCCCTTTAAACTTCTGGGGGTTTCTTTTAATTAAAAATATAATTAAATAATTAAAAATATAATAAAATAATTAAAAGACACTTTGATTTATCCGACAAATCTCTTCTGGATTTCTCGGTTTTGTTTGTTATTGTTTCATCTGTGGCCACGAGAAATACATCATATAATCAAAATTAAGGAAGAACAATGTCGTGATGAGCTAAAGCTTCTTATTTTCGTCATTTCTCCCTCTCTCTTTTTTTTCTTGATTTTTTTTGCATGGATTTTTATTATAATTGTAAATTTTTGCATGTCCTTTAAATTTAAGGACAATGTCGTGATGCATACTTGATACTTCTTTGCTCTTTAGTGATGTTCCAAACCGTCTTTAATTTGATTGTTAGTTCATCTGTTGTTAATTGGCTTTAGGATACCGTATCAAAAATTTAATTAATCTACCTATTTTTAGAGTAACTACAATAACAAATTCTCTCAGATTTGTATGCAATGCACTAGCAAGAGATCTATAAAATTGATAGAGTGAATTGGGTAGAAATCCATAAGAAAATGGGAAAATGAGGTTAAATTTGGATACAAGATCAAGAGTTTTGATTTGAATGTATGCGACATTGTGCAGCTCTTGACTAAAAGATAATTGTAGATCTTCAATTTTTTATCTCTTTACCATGGGTTGTTACTGCAAGATTATCCAAATTATAAGGTTTCTAATTGTTTTTAATGTTCACACACACACATATATATATATATATTATAATAGTATTTTACTATTTTTTTACAGATTTAAGAAAATTCAGCCTCACAAGTAGTACTTAATTACCTCATATATATGCTACTCTATTTATCTGATGCAGTATTGGCTTCTTCTTTAATCGGCAATCGTTGTGTGCATATTTGATATTTGGTGCAGCACATAATGTGCATCAGTTGGCCTAACTTTAGACTAATTATAATTCATTGTTCTCTTGGATATCTATGCACGTGCAATGCACTTCGATCCGGGGAGATTTGCTGTAAAAAAAAGTATGGGGTTGATGGTAAAAATAGATCAGTAACTTGGGTTTTAATGTATGCTAGATTGTGTAACTATTGACTAGAAGATTAATGTGGTATATGATTTATAAGGAATTTCTATCCATTTATGGATATGTTTCTTAAAGATTTTCCAAAGGTTTCTACTTTTTAGTTTCCCACCATCGCAGTGCGAGACACATGTATGCTACATATTAATGCGACTTCGTATCAATTATCTCTCTTATTAGTTAGTATCATTGTGTGCATATTTATTACTCCCTCTATTTCATTATAAGTGTTATTCTATTTCATTATTAGTGTTATTCTACAATTGTGCACACGGATTAAAAAAAATAATTAATTTTATATATTTCCTATATAAAAACATAGTTACCTATACAACTAACCATATTTTAACCAATATAAAAACAATTACATAATAAAATTAAGAAATTTTACATTGAAAACCATAAATGACACTTATTTTGTTACGCAAAAAATTCTCTACAACTACACTTAATATGAATCAACACTTCGTTCCTATTCTCTGAAATATATTAAATTAACGTTGTAGTTGTGGTATATGATACCATCGATACAACCTTGTATCTTGGGTCTTTTGTCTTGGAAAGTGGCAGCAACACACGCCCCATGTTTCTTTGGCTCCTCTTGGAGATTGACAACCCCACAAAAAAGACATTTAATCTCATGAATAACCCCAACCTATTTAGTATCGCTTTATAATGAGAATCAGCATGATCCTACATTGTCAAAAATAAGTTTGATGAAGTGTGTACTAACACCCACCAAGCCGTTTTATTGGTTTGGCCATGTTGATCAAGATTGTATAAGTCGATTCTTACTTGATGCACTTTGGTAGAGTTTGTTCGCCTTTTACTGAATGTGGTTCAGCCTTGAAACTATTCCAAGGCTGAACATAGCATTTGATATACGGACAAGAAATCCTACCAAAGTATGCATCAAATGGCAAGTATATGGGACGTTTTCGACTAGAAGTCTTTCACTTGTGACATTTTATATGTATACTATTATTTCAGCCTCAATTGTTTGTTTGCATTCATGTCGTGTTTGTTTATAATATCAAGTTATTATGACATGGAAACACAAACCTGAATGCAAAGAGACAGTTGTGGCTGTAGAGGCAAACCGAAGTGTATTTCACTTGAGTATAGGGTTCTTGTTAAAAAGGTATATGGTTCTTATGTACTTGGCTTGATTTTTCTATAAGTGAATCAAAAGGCAGCGGTGCAAATGAATTAATTGATAGGTTAATGGAGATTGGAGAACATGTGCACTAACACAATTATTGGAAAACTAAACTTGAAAATCTTAGTAATTTTTAGAGGATTTTTTTGTTATTATCGAGGGAAAATATCTTACCATTAAGATATTTCTTAGAAAGCATAAGACATGTTAAAAATAAGAACTGGAAATCCAAATGTGTTACTGCTTAAACATAAGTACTATAGTTTTTTTTTCTTCTCAAATGTTAGCAAATTTTAGGGGTGTGAAAATTAACCTTTTGTTTCATTTCTCTTTTGATGTTTCGTAGATTCCAGTGGTGTTTTCAAGGGTTAACTAGTAGTTTTGATCTTAATTGATTCTTTTTTTCTCTTTTCTCCAGGCTGGACAGGATCCTTGATCGATATGGTCAAAAACATGCTGATGAATTTAAGGCCCTGGTAATGCAAACATTTTGAATATTTCCTCATGCCGTTTATAAGGAATAAGTAAGGGTTAGAGAGCTCAAAATATACTGGTCAGAGCCAACCCACAGCCTCATGTTTCAACTTGCTTTTTGTGGTCATTGGAAGACGTACTCGCATTTTACGATTTCGCATATCATTTCTATTTTGGAGCTGTAGTTATAATATTATTTCAACATCGGAAAGGTTATCGCATTTTACGATTTCGCATATCATTTCTATTTTGGAGCTGTAGTTATAATATTATTTCAACATCGGAAAGGTTATCGAGAGATTGATGCTTCCTTAAGAGTAGTTTTTTGATAAACATATGTAAACACATGTTGTGACCAAATTTGTTAAAACTGTGATGACCTATATTCAGCGGAATGATTCTGTCTGAGGTTATGGGTCCACGTGCATATCAAATTTCTCAAATCCATTGGTCTTTTACCGCCTTTTCTATCCCTTCTCCGTGGACAGGATCTTCAGTCAAAAGCTCTGACCTATGGATCACACCATGAGCTGCTAGAACTTGTGGAAAGGTACTACTAACTGAGACTATCTTTACTCTCGTCCTTTGATTATAAAGGTATTAGGGTTTCTTGTCAATCAGTGCATATATGCAGCAAGCTTGTGGAATCAAATGTTGATGTTAGCGTGGATTCCCTCGTTGAGCTAGAGGATCACCTTGGGACTGCCCTCTCTGTAACTAGAGCTAGGAAGGTACGTTAACTCCATAATGTCTTATCTTTTTTTTACTTTGTTTGTCGAAAACGACTGTGCACATATATTTAATTTGTTTCAGGCAGAACTAATGTTAAAGCTTGTTGAAAGTCTCAAAGAAAAGGTTAGATATGTGTGATTTTATAGCACTTATAGATATATTCTCGTCTTGAGAGCCGCAAAACAGTTGTGTGGTGTATTTTAGTTTCTCTGAATGTGCTTTATGAGCTCGCAAGTCTACATCAAACTTCTTCGCAATGCATCTATCAGGATGATGCAAATGTTTTGGATACCAAAAATCTGAATTAATTGATGAATATGTTTGTCTTTCATAAACAGGAGAAGCTGCTGAAAGAAGAGAACCAGGTTTTAGCTAGCCAGGTAATGGAAAGCTACATTTTTTATAGATATATGCAAAAGCAAATAAGCACTTATAAGTAATGAAAAAAAATCTCGAGATCATGTCATTTTTTTTTGTTTTTTTGTTAAATTTGGCTTATTCTATTTTTGTGTGCCAATCTTTTCTATTAAAAGAGAAGTACCAAATTTATCTACTATTTAGAAGTCATGTTGGAACATGTTATTAATTACTTAATTGACATATTTTATTGTTATATTAACCAGTGAAATATATATGATTTCACAATATCTTAATAACTAATAAGAACATTAATAATAAATAAATTTAAATATAACAAAATCTGTTGAAAAAATCTAACAAGATCTCACCAAAAATTTTAAATATTTTTTATATAAAATAAGTATTGCTTTATTTCGTTATTAGATGTGATTATAATTAAAACAAAAATATAAATCATATATCAAAAAAATTTAGTTATATATTTATAAAATAGAAAATTTACCCGCACGGATGTGCGGGTGAAACTCTAGTATTTATTTTATTTTGGTGAGAATGTTACTGAATGAAACCCAAAATTTCATTGGTCTGGTATTGGTTGGAGAAAATTTCAATTCAGTTATAATATTGTACTAGATTTTGCAACTTTATAAAGTTGCTTCGAACATTATTTACTGAAAATTAGAAATTTTTACGTATGTATTTTTATAAAACCATTTGTTTTCAAAGTATAGATAATGAAATTTAAATTTATACAAAAAAATCTACTTACAAAAATTTATAATACAAATATGTTATGTCAGGGTGTATATTTTACGATAACTAAGTAAGTTGTATACAAAATAATAGGAAGTAAAATATATACTATAACTTTTTGTAAGTACATTTTTTAGTGATCATGTTTTAATCCTATAGATATATAGGAATATTTATGAAAATAGTGTAAATTTTAAAGAATAATTCAAAATAGTGTAAAACAATAATGCAACCCTAAAAAAATAAAAGCAAGTATAGCTTTAATAAAAAAAAATGTAGCCTTTTTCTGCTTTTGGTTTTGAGGTTTTCTCCAATTATATATCCAAATGAAAGCTGGAATCTGATAGATATATCATTTTGATATAGTTAAATTCTCTTTTCGGTGGACAATTTTTTTTTCTTTTTGTAAATTGTTTTGAGATTTATGGAACCGTCTGGTTTTTGTTGTTATATGGTTATGGTCCGATTGTCAGGTTCTAGCAAGGTTAACTATAAACTTGAAAAGTATAGATACCCTGGAGAAAGATAGATACATGCTCTTTAAACTTGAAAGTACCTAGAAGCTAGAAAGTTAGTAACAGAGAAATAATGGAAGCCAGATTTCTATATATTTGAATGGTTGGTTGTAAAGGAGTATTCCTTGTGTGTTAATAAATTATAGAAACCAAAAGAGAAGTGAATATGGTTTTGACATATAATTATCTTATTTACAGATGGGGAAGAAGAATATTGCGGGAGCCGAAGCTGATAACATGGAGATGTCACCTGGACAAGTCTCCGACATCAATCATCCGGTAACTCTCCCACTGCTTAATTAGCCACCTATACTCGGCGGTTAAATCAAATCCTAAAAGGCTAAAACATATAATTAAGCAAAAAATAAGCTATGTAGGTCCTCCTCGCCCTTGCTGAGGGTGCACGTTGTATATCTTAATTCTCTCTTTCGCTGAGAGACTCTGTGTGTAATATAACTATGCTAAGATTAAATAATGAAAAATCTATTTGAGACAAAAGTTATGGATCTTTGTACCTTCGCTCGTCGATAACTGGAGTTTTCTTGGTGGTGAGGAAGTCTTTTTTTTCTTGGTGGTGCGGAAGTCTACTGCCTAATTTTCAACGGACGTGGCCTCTTTGTCTTCGTAATTAAATATGCATTTATCGAAAATGTGTAGGGGTCGTCATGAGTTTCTATGGGCCTCCATCGGTCTCATTTGGCTCAATAAGTTTAGTTCTTAACATTCACTTCTGTAGTTCATATGTGACCGACCCTATAAGGTGATACTCTCTTATAACCAAAGTTGGCGATGCTCTCTGCCTGTCCTCAAGTTTGCGGATGTATCAACGTTGTCGAGTGACTTTCATAGATTCGAGCGCATGTTTATCATTTATGCGTTTTCGAGTTGGACATTTGTCTTATTAGGAGATAATCAAAACCAAATTTAGGACTTAGTTATGTTTTCATCTTCACATGATCAGTGTTGGGAATTCATAGTGGACAGTGTGGTACTCGCGAGCGGGTCTACATGGGTAGGAGGGGGTTAGCTGACCCCACTCAAATATTAAACTAAAATATTTAAGTGTAGACAAGTTAGATACAATGGCTGCCTTTGATCCCTTTCCTCGTTGAACACAAAAAAAAGGACCGACTTTTCCAAAATCGAACCTCTTTATTCCACCCAATTGATTGTTCTTCTTATCTTTTTCGTTACATAATTTTGGTTTAGGCCTAAATGCCTAATTCAAGTCGAACATATGAGTCAACAATTTTTTTTTTTTTGATGTAATTTTAAATTTATTGATCATCAAAAATAAATAAATCCAAGTAGATTATGTATACCTCTTATAAAATATGAATGAAAGAATAAAAAATGACTTAAGGAATGCTAATACGAGTGGGTAAACCATTGTTGTAGTAGCCCTCTCCCTCTCAGCTTGGCTTTCTCGAAGTACCTGGTAGACATAATCCGACTCCGAATGGTCTTATCAACGTTGTGCACCACTGAAGAACATAGCGCGTGATGTGCATTTTTTCATTGTGCTCCCTTCAGATGTGGTAAATGGTTACCTGAAACGCCAACCGCATTAAGATAGAAGTTACTCTGCCATGTGATGGCTGTGCGAGTTGCTCCATTGTGGTTGACCAATAAGGATCCGGGCTGATTAATTAAATAACCAACAACATCAATCCAGAGAGTGTAGGTGTAAGGACAAGCAAAAGAGAGGTGGTCTCTGGTTTCATCAGGCTCACCACAGAAGATACAAACACAGTCGAGGCCTTGGCCCCAGCTGCCCATACGATGCCCCGTAGCTAGACGATCTTTAATTGAAAGCCACGCTATGAACGCTAACCTCGGAACATTCTGTGGGAACCACACTTTGTTGCTCCAAGACTGCAACTCCTTGTGCATACGGATCTGATGCCAGGTGCTTTGAAAAACAAACTTTCCTTGAAACTCTTCATCATCTTGCTTCCAAAAGGCAGTGTCCTCCTTATTAGTAGCCAGAACAACATGGAACACTTTAATCTGATCCACCAGTGAGCACATACCTTGATCCATGCAGTTTCAGAAGTGCCATTCATTGCCTCTCAACACTTCACAGATTGAGGCATTCCTTACGATACCAAGCTTTTGGATTCCCACCTCACCAGTGATATCTATAATTCTACCAAGTGGGTGCCAACAAAGGAAAAGGTTGAACTCGGCCAGCTAAGGAGCATATTCCTGATCTTCGTCAGAAGTGGCTCATAATCATTACGGGTCACTACTTTGGTCGTGAGAGGCAGGCCAAGATACTTAATTGGAAGCGCAGAGATGGATAATCCCAAACGTGCTGCTGCTGCCTCTAATCCTCTCTTCCCCCGACCTGCTGCAAACACTGTGGACTTCGTAATATTGATGGTAAGACCCGAGGTACGAGCAAAATCATCAAACACTTTGAGAGTACCTTCTAACAAAGCCGGAGATCCATCGGTAAAGACCACTATGTCATCAGCGAAACTCAAATGAGATAAGGAGACCTCCTGACAACAGGGTGGTAACCTACTCTACCAGCACTTATTGACTTGTTTAGCATCTTGGATAGAACATTACTCACGATAACATAGATGTAGGGAGATAGGGAGCACCCCTGACGAACACCTCTAGCACTGGAGAAAAAAACCCTCTAATTCTCCATTCACTCTCAATGCACCTCATAATCCAATTAATAAAGAGTTCCGGGTAGTTCATGGCTCGAAGCGTGGCTTCAATGAATGCCCATTGCACAGTATCAAAAGCCTTGGAGATGTCCAGTTTGATTGCTGCTCTAGGGGAGACCGTGTCTTTATGATAATCTTTGACCAACTCAGTGGCCAGTAATACATTCTCAAGCAGGAGCCTGCCCTCAACGAACGCACATTGGTTGAGCTCAATGGCCTCAGGGAGTGTTGCTTTAAGTCTCTTAGCAATGATCCTGGATATGACTTTATATATGACATTGCAGCAAGCAATAGGTCTGAAGTCGGACATACGTTCAGAAGTAGCGGTTTTAGGGACAAGTGAAAGGATAGTAGCGTTGACACTCTTAGGAAGGAAACCATATAGGAAGAAGGACTGAACAGCTGTAACGAGATCCTTTCCTACGATTGGCCAATCGGCTTTATAAAACTTCATAGGGAATCCATCTGGCCCCGGCGCTTTGTTTGTAGGCATGGAGAATCAAGCGTCCTTTATTTCAGCTGGCTGGACAGGTGCTACAAGAGTGGCTCCCTCTGAGGTTGGGCAACGATAATCAATTAGCTCCTGCAGTTGCTCATGAGACATTACTTCAAACTCTGCTGGAGTCCCTTGCAGAAATGATTCAAAATGGGATGACGCCTTCTTCTTAATGTCCTGGAGGTCAGTAAGAATACTCTCATCTGCAGCAATGATTCTTCGTATAGTATTGGTGGCATTCCTGGTTTGAGTAACCTTGTGAAAAAACCTTGTGTTCCGATCCCCTAAGTCCAGCCATTTAATACGCGATTTCTGGTAGTAGAATTCTTCCTCAATACCAGAAATGTGGTGCCAATGCTCCCATGCATCCAAAGCTGCCTCAAAGGAAGATGTATGGGGTCGTTCATTGCTGCTGTTTTCTTAGCACAAAGATCATTATAAGCTTCAGTAACTCGGCCAGGGAGATCACCATACAAGTCTCTATTTAGAGCTCTCAAATCAGCTTTAAGCAACTTTAGCTTCTTGTGGAATATGGTGAGGGCTAGTCTAGAGTGAAAGATAGGCTCTGTGGTGTTCCATATCCTCTCCACGGTCTCAAGAAACTTTGGGTGTCCCATCAGATGATTATAAATTTAAACGGCTTCATATTTCCCTGGGGTAAGGCACGAAGCTGAGTACATATACTCATGTGATCCGATACTCCACCTGCTTCAAAGATAGCATGGGCTTGAGGAAAACTCGAGAGCCAGCAACCATTTACCACCCTGTCCAATTTCTTGCTTATAGGATTATCATCTTGACTGTTGTTCCACGTGAACATCGGCCCACTGTGAGATGGGTCAACAAGCTCGCATACCCTTACAACCTCTTGGAAATCAGTAATAGATCTTCTGTCTCCTCCAGTGTTTGTAGCTCTAGAGTGCTCCTCAATAGATAACACCACATTAAAAGAATATCCAAGGGTTTGTATTTCCTGCAACAGAATTCGAAATCATCTCCATTTCTTGCCAAAGAGCTCTTCTCTCTACGGCATCATTAAATGCATATACAAAGGAGCTTACAAAGTATTCCCCTGAACTTTTACACCGCACTCAACATGTAATCATCTGAGCGCTAGAGGCCACATGAACAACCTCCACCTCATCAGACCAACATACCCAAATCCTTCCTAACTGGTTATGACTATAATTTTGTACATAACTCTAGCCCGGGAAAGTCGCTTCAACCACCTTCTTAAAATGTACTTTCTGAACTCTAGTTTCTACCAAACATCCTATAGATAACTTAGCAGCTTTCACCTAACTTCTAACTGCTCTTTGTTTGCGTGGCATGTTGAATCCACGAATGTTCAACTAGTTTTATTTCCTCTAGATTCATTATTTTTTCATTGTTATTTACATGTTTTCTTATTTGCTTATCAACTTCATATATTTCTGATTCTATTAGAATATTTCCTAAAGAGAATATCTTCCTTTTGTCACGTAATTTTTTTTATTTCTGTATTTGTTTTGTAGTTATGATCATTTTCTACTTTTGTTTCAAAGCTCTATATAACAATTAGAAAAACAGTTTTTAACAAAAACAATTCGACCAAAGAAAAAGAAAAACAGTTTTTAACAAGATTTTTTTTTCTTCTAAAAGTACATTTTAGTTCTGAAAATTTCTGTTTAATTCAATATCTCCCTTATAATTAAAACACATTTCTAATCTTTAATATTTTATATAATAATATTTGAAATTATATTAAAGATATTATTAAATAAATTAATATATTAGTTTAAGTTATGATCCCAATACAAATATTGTCTGGCTCCGCCACAGGTGGTACTCTTTGGTGAGTTATATCGTTTTTTTCTCCATGGAAAACAGCTACAAATCTTCATGCGTCACTTACCTATCTAATCTATTAAAATAAAATCATATTTTTATCTACCAATAAATAATCTTATGTTGGTCTATTTAATTTATTTATTTAAATATTTTTGTATATAACAAACTTAGTTATTATTAAATATACACGATCTTAATATATTGTTTAAATATTTCAAAATAAGATATCAAAAGATATTACCAATATATTTTATACTATTTCATTTTGACAATATCTTGTTTATTTAAAATATATATTTAATATTTTAATATTTATTTTAAATAATGGAAATTCGTAACTATTTTAAATTTTATTACAAATAAATATTAATTTATTTTGATTTATAAAATAATTAATATCACTCTATAATATTTATATATAGATAACTCATATTCATACTTAAATTACAGTAAATAATATATGTAACATAACTTAATTACAACTAT